CTTCCAGTCCTCTGGCACCACACCAGAGCACCATGAGTGCTCATAAAGCCGCACCGGGGTCCTGCAGTGACCTCAGCTAGTTCCCTCAGTAGTGTAGGGTGGAGATCGTCCGGACCAGCTGATTTTGAATCCAGTCCCTCCAGAAGTTGCCTAACTAGTTCCTCACTAACCCTTGACCTAGGTGCGCCTCCCCTCGGGTTTAAGAGGGGTCCAGAGGGGGGGTGGCTGTTCCGGTCCCTGCTCAGGAAAATGAAGGCAAAGAAATTGTTAAATAGGTTAGCTTTGGTGTGACGACCAAATTTCCTAGCGTGTCCTGCAGGGGCCCCACGTTACCTGGAACCTTCTTTTTGCCCCCTATGTATTTAAAAAAGGACTTCTTGTTGTCCCGGATCCGGGAAGCTAGTCCCAATTCCATCTCTGCCTTGGCCTTCCTGACTGCCCCCCTGCAGCCCCGAGCAACCGCAGTATAATCCTCCCTGGTGATGGCCCCTCCCTTCCATTGGGTGTGCACATGGCTCTTCAAAAAAAAAAACGCACTCAACAGCTCCTGCCAGGCCAGGGGGGTGATCCCCACTGCCCCATGCTGCATGGGGGACTGTGCCTTGAGCCTCCATCCCCCATGCACTCTCTGAGCCCTGTCAATGGCTGCCCTGTCTGGCCTCAGCATCCCAGTGCTTTTAAAAAAAAAAAAAAGCCCTGCACTCACTGGCTGCTGTAGCAGCTATCAAGGCTTCTGGGGGCTCATGGCAGAGCCCCCCCACGCAACATGGGGCAATGGGGGGCAGCAAAGATCTTGTGTGTGTCGTGTGGTCCCCCTCACCCCCTCCCCCACCTGGCAGTAGCCAGTGAGTGCAGGGTGCCTTTTTCTTTTAAAGAGCTGGGACGCTGGGGCCGGGCAGGGCAACCATTGATGGGGCTGGGGATGGGGCCTGTTTGATTTGGAGATTCAGCCAAATTGATTTGGGACAGTGATTCAAATCACCGAATCTAATCACTGTCCCCTGAATCAGCCGAATCCGAAGCAAATACCAGCTGCTTCGCACAGGCCTAGTTTGCATGTCTTAAACAAATATCATCCAGGAAATGAAGAAGGTGCTTTTGTTTTTTAATCTAGTTTAGAGGCTGTCGCACTGTTCTCTGTAATGAAGTATTCATTGGCTTTGGTTGAGACCTTTATCCCAAGGGGTTTGTCTACCTACTGAAGTTACTACAGAGTAATTTAGGTCGTGAATTTAGCTATTGATATTTGAGTGTGAACACTACCCCAAAGCATTCAATTAGTATACTGCAAATTTTCATTCTGCCTTACTTTGTGGGCATCTTTCCATACACATACATAAATCCTGACATAGAGATGGAGAACTGCATTTTCACTCAGTTGTTTGGGGTTTTTTTGAATGGCCTTAATCCTGAATTTATGCCTGCTTCAAGTCAGTTGCAAATCAGTATCATTAAATGTTGATATGTCCTCTTTATCTAATCTGTACGTTTGCACTTTATTACACTGCAGGTTTGGGCTTTGTCAAGTTTTGGAGTAGAACTAGGTTTCCTGGTGGAAGAATATGCAGGCAGTAAAGGAAGATTTCCTCCAATCAAGCGGAGAACAAAGAAATCTCTGTACATCGCTACTATAGAAAAAGGACATGGCTTGGTGAATGCTCTGATTGAAACCAGAAGAATTGGTGATTTGGGCCTAGTTGTAGTAGATGAGGTTTGTTAAAATAATTTGCAATAGGTTTATTAACATGCTGTGCCTTTTTAATTATTTACACAAATATATATTTTCTAGCAGATTATTATGCACATACTGTAGTGGAAAACACTGCTTAACAAGTTGGTAACTGACTAACATTTGTCCTGTACAGCAGGAGTTTTCAGCCTTTTTTAAGGAGTATACCACCCCTTCTGGTGGGTATCCCTCCTGGACTGTACCCCCTGGATGAGCAGGAGGGAGGGGTGTTTTCCCCAGTGACCAGTTGATGAACTGGTGGGGGGTGGAACTTGGGTGGCAGCAAGAGAAGTGAGGGTACTTGGGAAGTGCACTGCCACAGAGTGGCATGCAGCAGCACGCTTCCCAAGTACTCCCACTTCTCCACGCTGCATACCCCCGGGGCATTCTCAAGTACCCCCAGGGTTTTGCATACCCCCAGTTGACAACCCCTGCTGTATAGTATTGTTCACTTGGTGGCTGGACTCCTTTGATACAGTACAACCTGGATACCTCGCAGGTGTAGGTTCCCCACCCCCTCGGGGAACCTGCACCTGCAGGGCAAGATCACATGGTCACAATTCAGTTTCTGTCCTGTTTTTGGGAGTAACAAACAATTGTATCACCTCTAGGATAAACTGAAAGGTGTCACTTCAGTTCATAATAAACAATGTACAGAAAATATGTGTATACAATATGACTCGCATTAACCTGTTTCTTTCAATTATATGTAGTAATATAAACAGGAAAAAAAACTTTTAGGATTCTCTTTGATTTCATACTTGTAGTGGGTTGTTAATAAAAGAAAAGCCAGTACTATCTTTTGCAGTTCACATTCTTCTGGACAAAGACACATAAAATACTTTAACTAATAATAAATATCACTACAATTAGTAGTGGTCAGGTCAGGAAATGCCATTCCTATGACCATTTTGTTTTAATTAAATGGAAGGCAGACCTAATGGTAAACAAATACCAGTGTTGTTAACTTTTTCCTCACTCTCCTTAGTGAAATATGTGTTTAGTAGGTGATATTTATTGAGGAAGGTTTACAGTCAAAATTCAATAAAATTATATCAAAGACATACCTGACAATGTGTTTTCTGAATTAAAATATTATGAAGTTGTGTGGTATGGCTGTATGTACAGGGATGGAAAGGTCTGTAATTATTCTAACAGTTCCCATTCTCAACTTCTTATTCAAAGCTGCACATGATTGGTGAAGGGAGTCGTGGCGCTATCCTGGAAATGACTCTTGCAAAAATTCTGTACACTAGCAGTAAGTAACCCCTGCATCAGGACCATAATACATGTTATAAAAAATTTGTGAGGCTGCATAATTTAGATAAGTTTATTTTGGTTTGAGCATATCTAAAATTTTTCAGAACTTGGCTCTGTAACGGTGTACTTCACCTTAGATTACTAGAGTTATTTTTTCCTTGCATGGTATGTTGCTTGTGTTCCTGGAGTAGTCTTCTGATAATTCTCCTCTTTCCTCTCAGAAATTCCAGTGTGATGTGAAATCTTTCGTCCAGAGGGTTATCTTCTCCTTCCTGTTAAATGGTTATAAAGGCTTCTGGGACCACTGAAGCATTTGTCAGTACAAATGATAGAAGAGGTCACATGAAAGCAAGGACAATTTAAGTTAGATTGAGCCCTATATATGTTAAAACTTTTGCCAAAGCCACTTTGTTACCACAAGAAATATAAGTTCCATTCTTCTTTGTTTATTTAAATACATTTTTGTCTCCTGAAGCTTTGATATTTTAGTACCACTGGGTGATTATATTAATGAGCAGGTCAGCTGTTAAATTTGAGAAGTTTGAAAACTGCCAAACCAAATTTGGGCTTTTTGGGAAACTGAGAATAAGATTTTATGAACAGCACTGGAGTTGCACAGAATGCAGTGAAATTGTTAATGCCTTAATGCATTGGGAGGCTTCCTTTCATTAATATATTTTTGGAGCTCATATATTAGATTTACAAAATTAGGCTTCAGTAGAGCAACTATTATATTGAAAGAGATCTATTCTTGATACAGCACATAAAAAGCTCTAATTAATTTGTATTGAAATGGATAAAGCTGCTGTGTTCATTGCTTTTTAAAATTTGATTCCTAACATTTTCTCTTGGCATAGTTTTTAGATACTAGTTCCTTTCCTTAATGGCTTAGTGTTGCAATGATAAAATAAAATAATGCAAATAGCAAAATAATGCAATGATAAAATAGATCCTAAATAAGTCATTAAGCATTTTTGTCATAGGTACTGTATTCTGTATATATAAAGGGCTTAGTCTGTCTGTCTGTCTCTGTCCATAAGGCTTTTGCAGAACTCTGATTGGTTGTCTCAGCAGCCAATCACAATGCTTACTGAAACAACCAATCAGAATGCTCCGTACAGATAGATGGCAGGGTATGGGGGAAGGAACGGGACTCTTGCAACTCTCAAGCTTGGATATGGCAGAGGGGGCTGCGTGGGATGGTGGAGCACCGCTATAATAGCAGGGATGGAGTAGGGGGGTGAGGCCAGTGGCGGGGACAGTGGGATGGTGGAGCACCACCAGGACAGACTGGATGGTGCAGGGGAGTGCATCCAGCATCACTAACTTCGTTCTCGTCCTCCCCAGCCCCGCTCCTTGGAGGTGGCAGCAGTGCAGGGTGCTGACAGAGGGGATGGGTTGGCAAGCTTCGCCCCTCCCCCTGCTCTCGGGAAGAGGTGGCAGCATGGGGTGGTGGGAGGCGGCGCTGTGTCCCTGGTCCTGCCTCCCCTCCCTCCCTGATCATTCTTGACAGGCAGTTTGCTAGCATAGTAATAAATGTGTCTTGTGACTTAACTTCTGCCTTTTCTGTTTTACAGAAACTACTCAAATAATTGGAATGAGTGCAACTCTAAACAATGTTGGAGACTTGCAGCAGTTCTTGCAAGCGGAGTATTACACTGATAGTTTTAGACCGGTACATATTCAAGATTAGCAGAAGCTTGAACGTAGTATTTTTAAGGTTAAAAGTAGAAGTCAGCCTCTCAGTGTTGGACCTCCAACCTCAGTCCTATGCTCTGTCCTTGCTACAATGACCACGTGACTGGCTTAGTTTGAAAGCAAATGCATTTCTTTTATTGGGCTACCACAACTGATTAGTTTGCAGCATGCCTAGGGAGAGCGAAACGGGCACTCATCTCCAAAGATAAGTGGTCTTGCCTTGGCCTCCTATACACTAGTTGTTTACATCTTACAAAGCATTTTCCTGATGCCAGTCATTGTTTGCAAATATAGTTTGTCTAAGGGAGTAAACAGCAAACATGGATATTCGAGATCTTTTCCATTTCCTTTATTTGGTTTCACTCTGGTGAATTAGCATCACTCACTTCTTAACATCACATTCTGTGATCTGCTTTACTTAGGCCAACAGTTGGGTTTTCAGTGCACAGACTTTTGTGACCTTTCTAACTATTTTGGCTTGGAAACCAACTTTAGTCAATGTAACATGACACCTTATTGTGTATGCAGTTATAATGATATAAAGACACAGTTTATTACCATAATTTTAACTTATATCTTAACACAACCTATTTTCATCCGTGGCCGTTGGCAACTGGTGCTACTTCAGTCGGGGGGGGGGGGAGCATGCCCCCCACCCCCCAGTGACCAGTCACCAACCGAGGGAGGGTCCCCCTGTGGCCAATCTCACCAACCGGGGCGGGGTCCCCCATGGCCAATGGCACCGACTGGGAAGCGGCCGCAGCACTCTCAGAAGTGGCCACAGCTCTTCATCTGGTGCTTCCGCCTGCCCCCACACCCGTTGCATAAGCAGGGAGCGTGGCCTCTCGGGGTGCACATGCACCCCCTACACATCGCCACTGTCTGTGCCATAGGATTGTACCCTTTTAATTAAAACTGGTTTCTAAATTATTGTTAGTCATAAGAAGAAAATGTATATAGACCAACTGTTTATCGTGATTGAGAAGGCACTTTTTATTCTTCATGACTACATGCATTGCTTAACTTAGGGCTGTCCAGTTTGTAGGTCACATATGGTCTGCGGGCTGCATACAGACTACAAACAGTTAGCATGTGGTGCAGCCTGCACTGTGGGGAGGATTCTAGGGAGGGGAGGCCACCCTGCAGTGTGTGGTTCATGTGGTCTGTGTGGCCAAGGGCCGCATAAGTTACACAGCCTTGGCTTAATTTATGGGTTGACCTTTTTTCTTTTCGGCCCAGGGAAAATATAGGTTTGTATAGTCTGAAAAAAATGATTGAGAATGAAAAAGATGCATTTCTCCTTTTGGATTGGTTATATTTCCATGATGTTTACTTTTTGAAAAGTCAGTAGTGGCAATGGAAATTCAAAAGCCAGAGGTACTTGATTTATAACAACTACTGTTGAAATCAAGAGGCTTTGCTATTTCAGTCCCCTTCAGCGTAATACTTGATAGATGATGTAGTATGCAAAACTGAAATTAGTCAGCTCTCTATGAATTTGAGAACCCACAGGCTCAGTCACTATCAGTGTAATAGGGCAGTTGGGGGTCCATCTACATGGTGTATGGCCCAGAGGGCCATGGCTCACCCCATGCACCTCGCACAGCATGTGGCTCCTGCTGGTGTAGACCCCAGCAACTTAAAAGTTAGATGGCCTTGGCACAGAGCTCTTAGTGAAGAAGACAGTAATTTGGTTAATATGTTAATATGCAATTTCTCTTTTTGCCAACATAGGTGGAATTAAAGGAGTATGTTAAAATACGAGACGGTATCTATGAAGTTGACAGCAAAGCAGAGAATGGTTTTACTTTTTCACGTCATCTTAATTTCAAGGTAATAGTGCTAATTTTGTGAAGTTTTTTAGTTTCTTAAGTACTGAATAGTGTTTAAAAAATGTATGTTTTTTAAAATCAGGGTTTATTTATAGTATTTTTACAAAATAGGCCATTATGACTTAGTGGTTCCAAAATGTTTAATGTAAAAGGGCAATAGTAACCATAAAAATAAGCTTTACAAATAACAACATGAATTGTTATTTTTGGGTGACGGGTGACTATTAGTGGTTTTATATTTTCTTTGACTGTGTGAGAGGAAAAGAAGGCAAGTTCTTCCATTTGCTCTCAGGAAGTTGTAGGAAAGACCCTTGTCTTCCACACTGGCTCTTAGGTTTCTGGTGATTTTTTTTTTTTCCCCCTACCATTTTAATAGTTGTCATAGTTCATATATGGGGCCCAATGTACTTGAGTCACAAAGGTGGAAATGGTAGGATAAGAAAGGTGGTCATACTGTTGTTGATTCTTATTTGTGATGCCTGCAATCCCACGGTTCCCCATTCCACACAACTGTAATGTAGTACTTGGTGAGACTTGTCTCTTCCTATTGCTATGCATAGCTGTATATGTCCCCAGAGTTTCTCTTGCTCTCTGAACCAGTCGAGTAGTGAATGAAGGTCTCCTTGAATTGCTGGTTTAGATGCTGTTTTCTTTTCATAAGAGTGCCGCTAATAGCACAGTGGACATCACATCGGTGCTTGTAGCCCAAGGATAATAGGAATGAGGCAAAATATTCTGTTCTCACCCTCTGTTCCCCTTGAGTTCAAAGTGCAGGTGTCCCTTAATTGAAAGAGTCATAGTGGATAAGCTGATTCTACTAACATTTAAACTTCTGTAACATTTATGATGAAGCAGAGGGGATTATTCAAGTGAGTAAAGTTAAGAACAGATGTACATATTTGCAGGCTTGGAGTCTTAGGCTTACTGCAGATAAATAAAAAGTTGTATTGTCTAATAACTCATTTAATTTTTATTTTAGTATTCTAGTAATCTGGAAAGAATGGATCCTGACCATCTTATTGCATTGGTGACTGAAGTTATTCCAAATTACTCCTGCCTAGTCTTTTGTCCCACTAAAAAGAACTGTGAAAATGTAGCTGAAATGATATGCAAGTATCTGAAGAAGTATGTGTCTTTTATTACTGTTTTAGACCACCCTTAAAGTGTTAAATCAGAATTGAACGTTTACCTCTAATAACACAAAACTACTCACTTTTCATCTGCAGTGACAGTAGTAAAGATCCCTGACCAAGAAGAAGTAGTTGTCTTCTGAGAATAAAATTATGCAAGGCTGTACAACTTCTGTAGAACTCCAGTTTTAGGGTTCCTTTTTGGTTTAAGTCAGAAACAACCGTTAGAACACAACTTTTCAGGAGTTAATTAAGAAAATAAACAGAAAAAGAAAATGTAGGGTTCATTCAAAGAGGCATGCTATGTAATTCACGTCTTATTCTTGTCATTCTTTGTAAATTAACACTCCCCTTCTCTGTTCTTCTTGCTTTACTTCCTGTCATGCACAGTGGTAGAGTGTTGCGAAGCTGCTTACGTTTAGTTACATATATTGGGAATATAAGATGCAAACAATAAATGCAAATTAAAGATTACATTGAATATTGTATATTGCAAATTATGAGCTGTGCTCAGAGACCTGGACTAGAACAGGGATAAAGCCTGTCAGCATGAAACAAGGATAAACGTGTGAGAGGTGGAGCTAGCAGGGGGCAGAGGTGGCAAGAGGCAGGCACAAGCAGGGGACAAGCTGCCTCTCCTCTCCACATCACATTCTCCCCTACCGCCCTGCAGCAGTGGTGGGGATGAATTAGAAACAACCCTCCAATAATAAGATTCTATACATGGAAATTTTTAACAAATTTATAAATTTTCCATATATAGAATCTAATTATTAGGGGAGTTTTCTTAAATTCTGGGTTGTCTTATTTACCTGAATCTATGGCTAAGGAAAAGAAACCCCTTGAAAATTGGAATCTTTATGTACTATATATTCCCCTCATTCTGACTGCTGCTTCTAAGGAAACAAATCTGTGCTATTGCAAGACTCACTATCAGTTCATGTGGTATTTTTTACTAAACTCAGTTGGCATTTTTACATGCGCTCGAGGGGGGGGGGTGTACTTTAATTAGAGCAGCTCTGAGAGGCTTGCTGAGCACACTAATTAGCACACCCCAGCAGACTCGATTAATCGAGTCTGCTCCAACGTGCTATAATTACAGCGCATCAGAGCAGCCTCCTGACACGTGTACAGACACCCAGTGTCTTGAAACCAGAAAATGTTTACTGTGTCCTAGTTCTGTTTTGTTGACTTGATGTGCAGGTTGAATTCTGCTTGTATCTAATTCTGTGTTATTTCTTTGGTAATAGAATAATTGATTTCTAAATTGCAAATATCTTACTGAAGTAATGGATAATGAGCGGAAGAAGCTTAAGTGCATCTTTTGTTTTTATTTTTTGTAGTTAAACAATTTAGACTTTGATCATTCTTTTTTTTTTCTTCCCTAAGAGAATATGAAAATCACAGAAAAAAAGAGAAACAAGACCTTCTTATGAACTTGAAGAACATTGGTAATGGAACAATCTGTCCTGTTCTAAAGCGAACAGTTTCATTTGGCATTGCTTACCATCACAGTGGGCTTACAAGTGATGAAAGGAAAAGTATAGAGGAAGCTTATTCTTCAGGTGTTCTATGCCTTCTTACCTGCACATCTACTTTAGCTGCTGGAGTCAATCTACCAGCTCGAAGGTTAGCCCCACAAAAATATTTACTATATGGTTTCATTAAAGCCTATGTTGTTAAAACCCTTTAACAGACTTAAGTTTGAGTTTTGTTCCAATCATTGGCTAAGCCTGTCACAACACTTACAGAAGGGTGAATGTGTACCTTGACTCATAGTGACTTATTCACAGCACTTGACCTTCAAGGTGCCTGGTTTCACATCTAATTAATTTGGCACAGAGAAACTAATATCTGAGATCTGGGTAAGGGCATCATTACCGAACTCTGTCATTCAGTTCCCATAGTCCCTTGGGTGTACAACAGTGTCTTTGCTGTCTGCATGGGACCTATAACCTATCTTTACTAATCGGAGTCTTGTTCCAAGGCCTTTTTCCTTAGTGGCCACTTCACCCTTTGTAACTTGCATAACAGAGGATGGTCAGGTCACAGACAGAGCTCCCTCCCACCTTCCCCAACAAGGCAGTCCTCCGACTTAGCAGGTCTTAAGTCAAAACTTTGTAGCTCGAAATCCATTTTCCCATAGGAAACAATGTTATAAATGGGGGGTTGGTTCTTGAACCAAGGCCTGATGCCCTATTTTCACTAAAAATAACCCAGAATTTTGTACTCAACCAATTATCGACGAGTAATATAGCTACATTAATGTATTTATATTGTAAATAGCAATCATATTGATTTGGAAGGACTTCTTTGAGGTGACTTTGCTAGACTTTTTGAAGGGCTCTTGGTTGGTCTTTTTAAAGGGTTCTTGGCTGGAGTCTTCTCAGGAGTCTTGGCTGCAGGTTTTTCTGGAGTCTTGTGTGCTTTCTTAAAGAAAGTGTCCAAGGAAATTTGGACAGATGTTCTCCATGGAGATTGGCGACACAGCGAACTTGTTCGCTGGTGTGGTGTCGGATCAAGTGTTGTAAAGTCAAAACTGACATCAAAATTGAAACAGGGTGTCAATTTATAAATGGTGTAGGTGCAAAATGTAATTCAACACGTTGTAAGTCAAGGACTGCCTGTACTCAAAATTATCCAGGTTTGTGAGCTGCATGTATATAAAAATGAGATTTATTCTTCACTTATTTCTTGTCATCCCAAGGTAAATATTTTTTTTCCTTAGGGAAAACTTTTTCCTTTGTATGATTTTACTGATGCTTTAAATACTTGAAATGCAGAATGTAACTTATCTGGGTCTTTCCTCTCTTTTTTTCTTTTATTTTTAATACCTTAGGGTTATTTTAAGAGCACCCTATGTTGCAACAGAATTCCTGAAAAAGAATCAGTACAAGCAGATGATTGGCAGAGCTGGTCGAGCTGGTATTGACAGTGCTGGTGAAAGTATTCTTATAGTGCAAGAAAAAGACAAACATCTGGTAACTTGCACAAAAATATCAGCTTTTCGAGTCATCAGACTAAATTTCTGTGATAAACAGGGACCTGAATGTCTTTTGCTCAACTTTGCATTCTCACATGTAGTCCTTCTTGCTTACCAGTAACTGTTACCAAAAACTTTCCTGCAATTGTGAAAGGCACTCAGATTCCTTGCTAGAAGACGTATGTATTTTCTGACCATATATCACATCTCTTGGCTCATAAACTGATCTCTAGAGGTCAGTCAGAAAACTTGGAAATCTCCAGGAATAGTTTTTAATCAAGCCAGTACATATCAGAATATTTTTGAAGATGAAATATTTTCTCCCATTAAGAGATTTCATCTTTTGCTTTTTATTTTAGGTTCAAGATTTAATAAACAGTCCTTTGGAAAACTGTTGCAGCAACCTTTTACTTGAGTTTACCAAGGGAATACAAAACCTCCTTCTGTCCTTGGTTGGGTTACAGGTATCAATTGTTTTCTGTGGCTAAGTAAAGAGATGCATTATGATACTACTAATGAGAATGTAGGTAACTATTTATGATATTTACAGGTAGAACTATGTTTCTTTCACGGTAGTTTCCATATTATTACGTTTGTAGTTAGCATACTCCATTTCATGGAATCCATTTGGGACTCATTTTGCTTCATTAGGGTTGAGAGTAATAATGTTAGTGTTCACCAAGGTCTTGTTTTTAATCCTGAGTAGTTCATTAAATGCAATTATAATCAATATAAACAAGGAAAACTTGTGGTCATGTTATCCAACCAAATTACTGAATCCTGATGAGTTTCTGACGTAGACAAGGCCAAACTGTTTTCTGTCTACTAGGTACTTCAAAGCTTTGGTTCTAAAGATACGCTTTTAAGATAACTTCTTAAAGATAAAAACGAATTTCAAATGCTAAAAGCTGCAGTAATGTAGCGGGGTGGCATATGATATTCTGCTGAGCCCTTCTTCAGGCAACATGTTCATCAAATTAGTTGCACTTATCCTGAAGTCATGTAGACATGCAGGATTAACATTCTAGTTCGGAGTCTTCAGTAGACGTACTGTTTTCAGCTAGAAAGAGGGCAGACGCTAGAGTTAACACTTTTATTGAGCTGTGACACTTCTTTTCTGTCATACGTGATTAAAACATCCAAACTATTGTAGATTGCAAGAAACTTTGAAGAAATCTGCAACTTCATGTGTGGTACACTGTTTGGTGTTCAGCAAAAGACACTGTCAAAAGAAAAGAGCCTCTCAGATATAATTAAAGAATCACTGGAAAGCCTAATAGAAAAGGGACTCCTAAAAAGAAAAATCATGTCTGAAAAGGAACAAAAATCCCCAAGTAATCTAGCGATCACACAGTTGGGTCAAGCTGCTTACAAAGGTAAGAATTTGTTCCTTTCCATTGCACTTCTTTCCCCATGTCTCTTTTAAATCTTTTTTTTTATTTTCATACTTAACTAAAACTTTTATCCAGCCCCTTCCCACCTGTCTGAATATGATGATTAAAATAAAACACCTGTCAGACTATTCTGGAGTCGGTACAGCTCTATTTCTATAAAGAAGCCTCATGTCTTGGAATTTTTTGAACATGTCATTTAAGTAGTGAATAAATAACTAGTTAACCTAATCCAGTGATTATCAACCAGGGTTCTGTAGCACTGTAGGGTGCTCTGTGATCCTTTTAAGGGTGTCGTGGGGTGCTATACAATATTAACACTGTTAGGTGTGCAAATGCCTACATGTGATTCACAAGATAAACCCATATATTTCAAATGGGAATCCATAGGGTCAAAACCATTCTGACTTTTTGAGGTTTTCTGTGTTCTTTGCAGGAAAAGAATTGTTTTATTATTTTTCCATAGTCAACAAATGAGTGAGAGCCCATGCCATGAGCTGGCATTTTCTGAATGGCGTCTGAGTCTTATGAGAGGTGCCTTCAGTAAGACTGTTCAGACTTCCTAAAGGCCTTGAACAAGATCCTGCACAAGAAACTACTAAATTGATAAGAAGTATCCAAGTCACCAGATGTAGAGTATTGTAATGGTTCAAAAACTAAGCAAAGAATAATTTGTCTGTTTTTCCTTGTAGCTGAAGTGAAAAGCAGAGCATCTCCTTGGCTTTCCATTCTAAATCTTTTATTAAATATATGAATTATCTTGAAAGGGGTGTTTTCTAGTAATTTATCAAGATTTACCAATGAGGGTTATTTTAATTATTCCAGACCTTGAGAGACCAATCAAAAATCTAAGTTGACAAAATGAAAGGACAATATGGTAAATGAAACTCAGTGTGCCTAAATCCAAAGTAAGGCATATTAGAAGAGAAAACATGAAGTGCCTGTGCATCTTTTGGGATGTAAATTAACTCACGATATCAGTTTTGCATCGTTGTAGATAGCTAACTGAAGATTTCTGATTGTGCAGTTGCACTCAGAAAAAGCAAGACAGATGTGAAGATCCATGAGGAACAGGATGATAAATAGTAAATAATGTATAGTACCTTTTATATACTCAATGATGTGTCTGTATCTGGAGTAGAATGCAGTACTGGTCATCTTGGAACAGATGCTACAGAACTAGAGGGATTTCAGAGAAAGGCAACAGAAATAAAGCACAGAAATACTCGTGAAGAGGCATTGTAACCATAAATCCCAACTGTAAATATTGGGACTGTTTTAGTTTGGAACAAAGAGGAATAAGAGAGGGCATATGCAGACCCTGTTTCATAAAGGAAGAACATGGAATATTCAGTGTAATATAAAAGTAGAAAATCCGAAATCATAAAATAATATTTTTTTCACATAATATATAATTTGACTGTAGAACTCGTTGCCAGTAAATGTTGACGGCAGGAACTGAGCAAGGTTAAAAAATGGTGGGATGTTTGTATTAAGAGTATCCCAAGTTATACCGAGCAGTGATTTTTGGAAAGTTATTAAGTCTCATACTTCTGGATTTCAACCAGTCTCTAACTATTGGAGACAACAGTATCTAACTAATGTGTGTGAGCCATTTGAGAATTATAGAAATAGGTAACTATCCTAATTTCTTTTAGGATCTATAGACTTGGCATATTGTAATGCTCTCTACAGAGACTTGAAGAAAGGTTTAGAGGGGCTAGTACTTGAGAGCTGCCTTCATCTACTCTATCTAGCAACTCCATATGATGTGATTTACCACTGTAACCCAGACTGGATGATCTATTTTAAGCAGGTATGGCATAACTTCCAAGCCTATTAACAAATGCTACCCTGTATAGTGAAGTAAAACTTATATTACATAGCTGTTTTCTTCCCAGTATAATAACTTTGGTCTGTGATTGTCTTGTTAGGCATAAATCTAGTTTGAATACGCAAGTCATGAGAGTTTGGAGAGTTTGAAGTCAGAAACAGAAGGAAACCAATTCTGACTACAAACAAGTCAGTGTAACGGCAAAGTAAATAATGACTAAGAATATTATATTCATGGTCTTTGTAGGATTATTTTTATAGTATACTATAAAATAGTATACTTCATAAAGAGTATTAAACATTACAAAAAAAGTGGGGGGACTTATACATAGCAACTCCTGTGCTGGCAGAAAAGATAAACAGTCATTGATTTAATGTAATTACAGATCCTGCCACTAGCTGAGTAATTAAGGTTAGTCCAGTTTGCCCTATAGTTTAATGTACTGTTTAGCAATGTTAACCATGTGATCAAAACTGTCTAAAAAGATACCATAGTAAAACTGAAGAATACAGTCTTCCACAAAATACTTCCACATAATAAGGAAAAAGTCAAACTGTAGAGAGGGCTAATTTATATAGGTCAACCCTGCATGTAAGTTGAGTGCAGTTTTTGTAGTTTTGTGGGAGGAAAAATAAGGTAGATTTATCACTGGAAAAATACATCAATGTTCCTATAGGGGGTGGTGAAGAAATGCAAATTCCATAAGCATTATATACATTAACTGAGATTAACATTTTTAAAAGGTTATTTATTTACTGATGTAACAAAGTAGAACAGCTAAGTGACATTAAGTGTGCTATATTCTATCCCTTTAACATATTTTTGCAACTCATACAGAGAGATAAATTCATCTTTAATATTCCATGGTTTGTTCTTTTTTCTTTTTTTAAATTAATTCTGCCTTTTAGTACACTCAGCTAAGTGCAGTAGAACAGAAAGTAGCAGATATTGTGGGAGTTCCTGAAAGCTTTATTACAAAAAAGGCATCTGGTCAAGTCATCAGAACGGTAAGTAAAAGATTATTGTTTTTAAAGGAAAAACTAGTAGAATGGTAACTTCTTCAATCAAATTATTTCGTATAGAAAAAATATGTACAACTGATAATTAGCATTTGTTAATTTTTCAATTATGGTAATGTAACAAGCAGCTTTTAACTAGTGCTTTGCTATTATGAAGCTGTATTTATTTCATATCATATAGCCATGGACACTGAGGAATCCAAGATTCTCCCGTTGGCCCTGGAAAATGTTTATATTTTGTTATTTTGTCTGCAGTTTCATAAACACAAATCAGACAGTTAAAGGCAGTTTGTTCTGCCCTGCTTCTGGAATCTTTGTTTCACCAAAATAGTTCCCTCTGCTTCTTTCTCTGCTTCAAAAATCCTTGAATGCAGAATTACTCCATTTGTTCCATAGAATTAGAGAAGTGGGGAAATGTGCCGTATAAAAATCTCATCTGTTGGATTGTAATTCTAAATTCTAACTGAACACGTTTTCTGTCTTCCAAGGATGTGGACACTGGTGTTGTAAATAGGCTATACCTATCCTTCGTTCTTTATGCCTTGCTAAAAGATACCAATGTATGGGTGGTTTCAGAAAAATTTAACTTGTCCCGTGGTTACGTGCAAAATCTCCTTAACTCGGCTGCCACGTTCTGTTCCTGTGTGCTGCACTTTTGTGAGGTAATATATGTTCAGTGGGTGGTGTCTAGCATGGCATCGGTGAATGTTTTTATTTGTAATTGCTACAAAGCACGAAGGAAGTATTTACTAGGATCTCTGTTGCTATAGACTTTTAGTACCCAAATCTGAACATTGGTATGGGTCATCTTACTGTTTAGAAAAGCCTTTGTGTATCAGAATGAAGTTTTCATATTAAAGGCTAGACTGGTATTCTCGGATCATGAATGTTTAAAGTGTACACTTGGAGCTTTGCTGCAAAATACCAGGATCCAAATGATTGCCAAAGGTTTCCCTCTTCTTCCACCTTGAAATGGTGTCATCTGAGAACAGGGTTAAAACTAGCTGTTCTACTGCTGCTTTAGCCTTTCAACATCAGAAAGTCCAACATTGTTCCCAAAAGACTATTCCTGAAGTACCTCCTCATTCTTCAGAAACGTCCCTGCATTGGGATGACTGGCAGAAAAAGGCTCAATACAACTCCTGACACTGTCCAGGAGGAGTATTTCAGGTGATGACATAACATACTTCCTTTTCCAAAGGGAACATATGCTCACCAGCCTGACAAAGCTCCAACTAGCTAACTAACTAACTAATAAAAGGCTTAAACTGGAATTGTGGAGTTCCTTTTCAGATCGTAATATCCTTTGTTTCTGCAGGAATTGGAGGAATTTTGGGTTTATAAGGCCCTGCTTACAGAACTTACCAAACGATTGACCTATTGTGTTAAGGCAGAACTCGTCCCTCTCATGGAGGTGGCAGGTGTTCTAGAGGTTAGTACGTGCGTATTCTGGCCCAAGTTAGCCTATGTCAGTTTTGTATACTAGCCTTAACCATGTGGTATCTACACATCTGTGAAAGAAACTAGAGCAGGAGTCAGCAATGTTTTTGGGCAGAGTGCCAAAAACACCTGCAACCTCAACTTGTAAGATGTTGGCATGCCAGGGACAGACAGCAGGATGAGCCACAAAGGGCCTGATCCTTCTTGTGGCAGCGTAGACCTGGCCCTTTCTCCAGCATCTGCCCCAAGGCAAGAATGCACCTGGCACCAGCAATGAACTGGGCTGGGACTCTGCAGATCCCTGTATAGGTACTTACAGCCTCCCAATTGCCTGCCACAGCCAGCCTGGGCTCTGGGCAAACCTCTGCTGCCCACCATGGAGCCCAGGCTGCTCGCAAGCAGGCAGCGGGGAGGCTGCAAGCAACTGCAGTGGGGGGCGGGACTGCATTGCCACAACAAGCTCCCCCACTGTCCACCCCAAGGTGCACATGCCAAGCAAAATGCCTTCATGTGCCACACTGGCACATGTGCCAGGGGTTGCCTACCCCTGCTACAGAGCATTTTGTTAAGAACCTATTTTTTTCCTGCCACTGTTTGGGTTGCTAATTTTCTTGTGGAAGGAAGTGAATATATTAAACACATAGCATCATATTTGTGTTTTAATGACTGCCATAGCTAGTCTGTTAAGTTTTACATAAAAAAAAATGTTTACCTAGGTAAACTTGAGGTTGATTTATGTAGTATTTTCAGACTTATGCTCCTGGCTGCTGTGACAAATGCAACAAAAATATTGTATATTTCTTAATCTGATGCTCAAGCCAAAATAGGATCCAAATCCATCTACTATAGCAATGGGAAAAGGGAATTGATGGATCCAGAATTTTGTAAAGGAGGCTGCAAGAGAAGCGACTGGTGCTGCAGGGGTGGCTGCATCCTTGCTCTGAATTCCACCTCCCCCAACACCAGGATGAGTGGATCACACCCTGAGAATAGCAGCCAGTAACTTTAAGTCCCCAAAAGAGTTAAGAACTCGGCATCCCCTCCTCTCTCCTCCTTGCTCAATGTTACCTCCCATCCCCTTCTCTTCTATTTGTGACCTCCCCCGCTACTGCCCCTGGGTGCCTTGGAGGTGGGGGAAGCTCCAGGGCCCCCCATGCCCAGCCCTAGCAGTCTGTATGGGGAGCTGGGCTCAACTAGGGACAATAGTAGTGGTGGTGGACAGGTTCCTTCTCCCTGAACTTGTTCCTGGGCTAGTGGAGAACACCCAGGGGATTGGGCACGTCACTATCCCAGGAGGTGCTGTACTCTAACTGTTGCTACCCCAGGGGCAAAACTGGGGTTAAATATGGTAATTATATTTAATAGTTTCATAGTTTCAGGGTCGGAAGGGACCTAATAGATCTTCTAGCCTGACCCCCCGCCAGGGCGGGAGAACAACAAAACCCCAGAACAAGAAACAGGACTCAAATGAGTCCAGCCAGGTAGGCATCCAGCCTCTTCTTAAAGACCCCCAGGGTAGGGGCCAGCACCACTTCCCTTGGAAGTTGGTCCTGCTCCTAGCCGCCCTAACTGTGAAGTAGTTTTTGCGGATGTCCAATCTATACCTCCTCTCCATCAACTTGTGCCCATTACTCCTTGTTATGCCAGCGGGCACTAGGGGAAACAGCGTCTCCCCCAAACCCTTCTGGTCCCCCCTAGTGAGTTTATAGACGGTCACCAGGTCCCCCCTCAGCCTTCTCGTGTGGCTGAGATGTTAAATATAACAAACAGTCAACAATGCAGTATATGTAGACTTGCATGGAACTTTGTGGAGGAAATGCTGTTAAAGCTAGTGTTGAAGTTGGATATTCTCTAAAATACTTTAGAAATGTGTGAGATAAAGCAGCTCAAGAATAAACATCTCTAGATTTCTAGTAGTCTGGACCATCCAGATATAAGGTAGTTGAATACACTAAGTTAACTGGACAGTGCAGCATCTTCTCTGTGGCATTTTTAGCTAGCAAAAACCACATCCTCTTTCTTCTGAGAAGTCAGCTTATCAACTCTCTGAATGTTCACAAGCTATGATTACCTAAGGAACAATGAAAAGTTTCTATGCCTCTCAAGACTGGTTTTGTTTTCAAGACGACAATTAAGTGTATGGGTTCACATAAATAGAAGAGAAAAACATATGACTAAGTAAAATAAGGAAAAAGACAGAGAATACAGTTCAGAGAGCCATCGGGAAGCACTTCCGTGGCAAAGTTCAGTTATATATGTTGCTTAAGGTATAGAACAAGTTCTCATAGGTTTTTTTCTACCAGAAAAATAATACCTGTGATAAGATGGAAATAGTCTCCCTTTAACTGTGGAAAGATCTAGAATTGCTTGTTAGCCAACATTCGTGCAAAACAAGTACCCGATAGCCTCTTTGCCACTTTTCATCACAGCAGTTCTATCCTGGATAAAGTATCTGAGAAAGGAAAGAAAACAAAATCTCTTGATCCTGTTATTTAAATACCACAGACCTTCTCTGTTGAGTACATGCAACTCAACAATCATGGCTTTGTCCATAATCTAAAACTGAACAGGTTGTCATCTTTTTATCCTGTGACCATGTTCAAATATGGGTGCAGAAATGGACACATACTGTTGACAGATGACAATTAAAAAGATGCAGATATTTACAAATGCAGTTACTGACAGGAAATAAGAGAGGCAGAAAGATAATTTGCCACAGAGCAATGAGACTGAAGTTAACATGCAACTGGGGAAACTCCAATGACAGAAACACAAGGTGTGAATGTGGAGGAAACTTTGAGATTATAGAACACCTTCTGGCCTGCCCATGTGTTGGAGAACCAAGCATCAATGAGGACTTCGCTAAAGCTACAGATCAAACAGTAACATGTGCCTGTTTCTGGACCCAAATTTGAATATAGTGACAGGACACGAGAAGAAGAAAGGGGCAGATCTATTTATTTAGGTAAAAGTTCCTAACAATAAATCAGCTTCATCTCCACACAGTATCAGTCTGGCATTAGGATGCTAATCGATATTAATCCAGATTAAATAACAGAGGGGTGAATTTTGTGCAGTCATCACAGAGTTTTGACTTTGACAAAAAAAGAAAGGTTCCTTGCAGTTCTTATTAACTAACCTAATACTTTTTTTGAACGGTTTCATTTTTGTCTTGCAGCCTCGAGCAAAACAGCTTTATAATGCGGGATACAAAACTCTAGCACACTTAGCTAATGCAAATCCTGAGATACTGGTGAAGATGGTTGAGCATGTGTCACGACGTCAGGCCAGACAAATCATTTCATCAGCAAAGGTAAGCAGAAGCTTTGTAATTTGAACTGCCAGGGATGAATGAAAACTAGTTCCTATCTAGTAATCTTTCTCTAATAATTTGTTTAAGACTTTCCTGACTAGCAGGAATAATATGAGATTCCCTGATAGGAGCTCACCAGAAGAATGACAACAGAACTTGGCTACCACCTTATTTTTAAAAAGGTAATTTCTCCATGGTTTGTTACTGCCTTTTTTTAGAACTTGGGAAAATGATATTTCTTTACTGCTGTTTGTTCTTCAAAAGTATTATTATAGATCTAGCTCCAGCTGTTTTTACAAAAAGATTATTTACGTATTTTTTGCCTGCAATTTCTATTCCCCGTAGGAACATTTCTGTAAATGACTCCTTGTTATATACTCAGTGGGCATGTCTGCATGTGCACTTTAATGCACATTAGCCTATTTTAATGTGTATTAAAGCATCACAAAAAGTGCTCTTTAGTTAATGCACGTTAAAATAGCCTAATGCACATTTTTCTAGTGCCTCACAATAGAGCTCCTAGATTTTAATGTGCATTAGGTAAAGTGCATTAATGAATGTGTAGATGCCACCCTGTGTTTACTTTAAATTACTGTAAAAGGAATCAATTAAATACTCTGATCTCCACACTGCAACCAGTTCCAGTACTGCGCATGTGAAAACAAAAACAATACATTAGGACAGGGTTGACATCTGGGCAGTTGCAGCTGGCAGTGGGCAGGCTACAAACAGCTGTACTGGGCTCCAGAGCCCTGGCACCAGCTCCAGGCCAGCAGCGGCTGCATGCACACCTCAGGACAGGGAAGGAGCCTAGGTAGTGCAACCCTGGCCCCTCCCTCACCATCCACCCAGAGGCACCCATGCAGCCGCTACCAGCAACAAGGATTGGACCCTCACGGCTCCCCCAGAGTCTGCCTCTGGCATTCAGAGTCGAGGTCTGGATCAGGGTTGAGGTGTTTTTGGCACTCCAGCCAAAAACATTGCTGACCCCTGCATTAGGATGCTTGTTGTTGTGTTACTATCACCTCTTGCTTAGAGACACTTCAAATATGATGAACAAAATAGCTAAACTGCTAAACAGATAGTTGCCAATTACTGCAATCTTCCATAATATGATTAACGTCTTCATATCAGGTGTGTATTTATTGCATAATGCAAGGAATCTACAGCCTACTTCTGTATACTTGTGTGATCAGCCTGTTAGTGTTAATCTGAAAATTTATTTTAACATTTAAAATAGAAGTGCCTTTTGTTGCAAGCACTCTGGAATAAAAATGTTATTTTGAAAAAAAGTCTTGCTGGACTGTAATTTTTAAATGGGACCTTGCTGAAGGGACCAGATTTTAAATTCTGCACTTTTTTTTTAAACTGATCGTGGCATGTTGTTTGCACTTGTTTTAATCCAAGGATGCTTAGTATGTGATGCTATGAACCAGTCCGTGGATTGGATTGGGCACCATGCCCCCAGATTGGGGCCTCAGGCTGCCTTCCTCACCCCTGCAACGCCAGATTGGGGCCCCATTCTGCCTCCGAAGCCCCATACAATTAGATTGGGGTGCTGGGTTGCACCCACAGCTCTGCACTGCTGGTTCAGGATCAACACTGCCTGTACTGGGCCTGATGCTCCAGGATCAGATCCTGTACTGCCTCCAGCCAGCCCAGATTGGCCTGGGCCATCTTCCTGTGCCAGTCTAATGCATTGTCTGGCCTGTGGGGCTTCCCACAGGTTGAGATATTTCACAGCAGGGGAGCAGCAATTGCTGCCACTGCTCTTCCCTCCCCCCCCCCCCCCC